AGGGAGCCCGATGCGGGACTCGATCCCGGGACTCCAGGATCATGACCTGAGCCAAAGGCAGTCGCTTAACCAACTGAGCCACCCAGGCGCCCCCAGCATCTTCCTTTTCTAAGCTAAACATACTGAGTATCCTCCACCATGTTTTCCTTGAGATGACCCTGAGACTTACCATCATCCCAACGTTGATCCAAAACTCGGTACAAAAAAATGTGTGATCTTCTCCTTCTGTTTACAGAATATGATTCACAGGGCAGAGTTTGGAGAAAGTTTACAAAGGTGAATAAAAGCCAGAATATGGAGACCTTGGAATGCTTGGCTAAGCAGTCTGTCCTTCATCCATAGGCAGAGGAAGGCACTAAATCCTACCCCATAGCGGATTTACAGGTAAAAAGTGACCTCAAAGATATCTCAGAGGTCAACCTCAATATCTTACTTTTTGAGTTCCAAGCCAGATTTGCCTCAGTGCTCTTGCTCATATGAAGACTGATGTCCGGTTATTCCAAAGAATCGGGGTTTGGCTGGTACCTCCTCTCTGAGCTGAGCTACCTGAGGACATGCATGCTGTTGTTTAACACATTCTTTTCTGCACCAAGTGGCCTGAGATGTGAATAAGGTTCCCTGTCCACGCCTTTCCCACCCAACTTCTGTCCTGCAAGGCTTGTCTGGGTGTAACTGAGGTTAGTGAAAGTTTGGGCTCCTTCCACCCTCTGCTGCACTGCCCACTTCTTCCCAGACTCTGTTCCCACCTCAATTCCTTCCCCTTCGACTTTCTCACTAAACTAACTTCCCTCGATTTGTGATCCAAAGCATTTCAGGTTCCCACCTCCTATAGAGCTCTGGACTCTGCATATTCAACCTGCAATCATGGTGCCACACGGCGTGTATATGCCCCGGACTATGCCCTTTCCCGGGACCAAAGCTGTCAGATGCTTTAAAGCGTCCTTATTTCCTCTCCTCTCCCCAGTTAGCTGCTGTGGGAGGAGGCTGTATGGCAACTTCCTTCCCTGCTGACATGACTTCTTCCACTCAGAAACAGCTATAACTAGCTTTGACTTACACGTGACATGTTTCTCTATCACCTTTACAGAAACACTCATTCCATAGTGTCTTACAAGAATTAGTAGAAAGAGAAGCTGAAAAAAGTCAGGGCACTTAGGAGGGTATTAAGATGTAAGTGACACAGAATTATCCTAGGGATACTTCAATAGAAGATGCGAATGATTCAAGAGAATCTAGAAAAGGAAAATCAAAGGAGTACGCCTTAAGGAAAAGAAAACATGAGTCTAGATTGACTGTGGTTTTCCACCTGGTAGCCAGGAGCGCTCACTCACTCGACAGACACTTACTGAGCGCAGGGCAAGGGTGAGGCGGGCACCCAGGTGCAGAGACACAGGATGGACAGAGTACAGGGCTCCACTTACCTCCTCATGGGAGAAACCGACAATCAGAGCACAAATAGGCAGACAAGATGACTTCAGACAACTAGTTCTGGACCATAAGACAGGCTGAGGGACCGTGGCTGGGTGGGGGAGGCAGGGACCGATGGAGATTAGGCACTGAAGTTAGGTCTCCTTGTGGCGTTGATAATGAGACAGAAATCCAGATCATGTGAAGGAGGTGGCTGTGTAGATGCTGACGGCAGAATATTCCAGGACAAACAAAGCATCACAGGGAAGGGTCTGAGGGACCCGGGAGCAGTGTGCAAGGCAAGGTGGGGGAGGGTGGCAGGCGGGGATGTGCACAGGCACGGGATGACCCTGATGATGGTCGACACCATGCTTGCCCCCTCGTAAGTAACAACTGTCCCTACTCATCCTGTTGTTATTACTGCCACACGGGTCTTCTCGGGAAGGCTTTGGGAAACGTGGACCTTCAGCTTCTGCAGCAGACGCAGCAAGAACAGATTCGTGAAGCCTCACAGTCATCAGATAAACACAAAGGGAAAGCAATTAATATTATTTATAGGATTGGACAAATAAGGTGAAAAACTTATTATACAATGAAAAAAACCAGTAATATCTTGCTGATGGGATTATACATTTGCAGTTTTCTAGAAGGTAATAAGTTTAAAAACCTATCTGAAAACATTAAACATGAGCATGCCTTTTGACTCAGAAATTCCATTTCTTAAAAAAGAATTAAAAAAGAAATTCCATTTCTTGAAAATATTGAAGCATAATAGTTCACTCCGTGTGTGTGTGTGGAAGTATTCATTGTCTCAAAGAAAATTGGAAACGTGCTAAATGCCCATCAGTAAAGAATGGTTACATTATTAAACTTCTACGCATGTGACCAGGGTTCAGTCATTAAGACAGGTTTTGCAAAATGTATAGGTTTTATTGACATGAGAAAATGTTCCTGATATTAATGAGAGAAATAGCGTAAAAATATTATTATGGCACGAGTGTTGAGATGGACAATTTTTGGGGCCACCAGCGTTTTGGGGGTGAATAGCCCTCCCTCTTTTCTGGGCTCCTGGGGTTGGTTGGGGTTGGGGAAGGCACCCGACCCTACTGGGTGCCGCTCAGCCACTGCGGTCATGATGAGGGGTCTGTGGTCCTGTTGTCACCCTCACGAGACCACAGGAAGGCGGCGTTCCCTTGGTGTGAGCACAGCTATCTGACTTCCTGACTTGAGCCCGTAACCCACCCACTTTTCATTTGTATGATCTGGGAAATTCAGTGTTCCCTTGCCTAGTATGAGTTGATTTGCAGTCTCCGGAAAGGGCAAGAATCGTAACTGATCAGATCTCGTTCGTGCCCAGGTGTGTAGGAACGCCCCCCGAAAGGACCTGCATCAGCGTTGATAGTGGGTGTTTGTGGTTGTGTGGGGTTTCTGCTTTGTTCTTTCTTGCTTATATTTTCCATATTGGGCATATAGTGTTTTAAAACTCTATTTTTTTAATTTAAAAAAAAATTTAAGATTTTGTTTATTTATTTGAGAGAGAAACAGAGACAGAGCATGAGTAGGGGGAGGAGCAGAGAGAGAGGGAGAAGCAGGTTTCCCGCAGAGCAGGAAGCCCCATGCAGGACTCGATCCAGGACCCTGGGATCATGACCTGAGCTGAAGGCAGACGCCCAACCTGAGCCACCCAGGCATCCGTGAAATTTTATTTTAATGATTACAACTCACACCTTATCAAACAAAATAAGTGGAAGAGGCACAGCTGTTCTAGATCCAGGAGAGAAGGAGGTAAAAATCGTAGCTGTGGTTGACTCAAGAAGGTCTGCTGGGCATGGGGAATGGAGCCATCCTGGTGAGAGGGGACGAGTGGGTGGGTGTGTTGTGGGTGCGCTCTAGGCTAGGAAATACCGCGTCATGTTGAAGAAAAGGATGCTGAGGGACATTATGAGCATGCAAGGGTGAGAGTGTTTCATTATAAAA